TCGAACTCTGCTGTCGTGACGTAGTTGCCGTCGTCGCTGTCGCTGTCATCGTCGTCGTCGTCGCCGTGGTCGTCTTCGTGGTCCTGCGCGCCAGAAGATGGCGGCGAGAGCCGCGTGTTGAACACGGCCCCGTGCGAGTACGAGGCTCCTGGAGCCTACAAAACGCGTAGCATGGGGTGTATGGGGGGGGTGAGTGATGTATCGGTTAGGTCTCAGTCATGCGCGATAGGGTTACGCTCGGCAATATGGTGTTGGGGATTTACCGCTCGATACCGACAGCAACCTGGCAGAACCGAACTGTGATGCGGTCCTACCAGGAAAAACTAATCCCAAAACACTACGCAGGTTGTCGCAGGAAAGCACGGCGAGGATAGCGCAAAAGGCCTGACGCTTCAAGGGATATAGCGGAGGTACGGGGTAAATGAACGGAAGACCTGCAGACAGACCGGTTTCTCGGGTCCTAGCGTGGGGCGGCGTGGATTGGGTAGGTTGGAGGAGATTCAGTGGGGCGTGTCACCACATATCATCGTGCTGCTTCTTGGGTGATGGGGGTGATGGGGTAGGTAGCAGGGGGGGCGTGTTTGTTCGTTGTGTGGTGCAATAATACATGTACCCGTATCCTGCGACATGCCAGGGCAAAGAATCTCTAAAATATAGGCTGTTCCTATCAATAAACAATAAAAAACTTATCCCCAGATAAATATCATCGCCTTATTATGTGTTCCACTAGACGTGGTATCTATTTGCGCTCCGCCACCAACAATAAAAATATGAAACACCGAACGAAGTAACGAGCGGCCTCACTAGGCACTAGCACGATGTTACGGCTGCCACCACGGACATGCGAGTGTCGGTGCGACATGCTGGAAGCGACATTGCTCATGTACGGATTGAACACACAAGGTTGGGGAAGGTTGGGGAGGGAGAGACTCAATTGGTACCCTGGATGTACCAGAATGCATACATACCTCTCACTCCAGCACGGCCGCAGGGAAAACAAAAACACTCTACTGGTGTTGAGCTCAAGAAGCCGGCCGGTAAGGAGGGGGTCTGGTGATGGACACCAGTGTATCTCCGCGTGTACACTATTTAGCCATACACATGGAAGGCTACAGAAGAAGCAACGCAAGCTCGAGTTCAAATTTGGGAAATTCAAATTTCGGAGGGACATATGGTACAAGTAGTCTATAATCTTTAGATGTAAGAGTTATTTCTTGGGAGGGCAAGAATTTGAATTTGGGTCAGCACCCTATTCAATAATGGCCTTGATTGGCCTACCGTACGAGGTGCCGCGCAGATTGTAGGTTCATGTGTGGCAGGCTTAGTCGTACAGGTGTGTTTTCTTGCTCTATGGCTTCGAGAACGATGTAGGGTAGCTGACACTAAATAGGTGCGTCTCTGAACCAGAGTAGACCTGAGGGCGAGATACGCGGTGAATTTGTTTGGGTCCTCTTGGACGCGGGTGTACGCCTCGATCTCACCTTGTCGTTTCTGTACGCTCGCACGCACTCATGAAGGGAATCTATCATGAGGGAGCAGAGGCGAAGACACAAGACACACATATAAGAGTGCTTCTATATGATTAAACCTAAGTTGTTAAACCCCCGAAGGGTGAGCGGGTGTACATGCATATGCATACGGCCGTTATGTGTTTCGAATGTGATACTGCAGAAAAGAAACACGCGGTTAATCGGCGTTGACGATACGACGATAGACCTATCCTCTGTCCTCCAATCGCTAACACAGCAGTCTGCGATGAAGACGTACGACTAGCCCTCTTGTGCCCGAAAGAACTTCAGGGGACATATTTGACTGTTGTGGACATACACGGAGAGCGGAGCACAGCACAGCAGGTGTGCCCAGCAGCGCGGGAGGGCGGAGGTGATGCATATGCGATGAAAAAACGCCAAACACATCAATCAGTACTTACAAATAGCACGCACGGTGTACCGGACATATGATGCGTTCTGTTCGCATGCAGAGCGGCAATGAACAGGTACGAGCTCACCTTGATGGGCGTTCCTCTATTCCCCTTCCTGCTCGATGGGGATTGTCCGCCATCACGGTCGCCCACCCTCTTCCGTTTGTCTTCTGTGGACCACTTCCTGGGCGGGCGGGCCCTCACGCTCCACAGCAGTCCNACATATGATGCGTTCTGTTCGCATGCAGAGCGGCAATGAACAGGTACGAGCTCACCTTGATGGGCATTCCTCTATTCCCCTTCCTGCTCGATGGGGGTTGTCCGCCATCACGGTCGCCCACCCTCGTCCGTTCGTCTCTGTGGACCACTTCCTGGGCGGGCGGGCCCTCACGCTCCACAGCAGTCCTCAACGACGAGGTAGCCCTGGCTGGTGTAGCTTGCGCATCGTTCGTAGGCATCGTCTTGCTGCGGGCTTCGCGATCGTGACGGTCTGGCGTGAAGGGGACGACGATTAGAGAGTGTGCTTTGCGCACGAGATGAGCCACAAGCAACGGCTAGTTTCCAAAACGGAGCGGGACGTGATGGAAAGGACCATGCTGGCGCAGGACACAGCATGGATACCGCCCCCCCCAATAAACAGGCGAGTATTTCGGAGCGTTCTTCTGGTGGCGGATCGTCCTCGGGAGCTGAACACGGCCAGCCACCGCCTCGGGATGACCCGAGATGGATGTCCAACATTGCCGGCACCGTCGGTAAACGCCTTAACGCCACTGTGATGGAAGGTGGGCCTACCAAAACCAAGCTACGTCAGTTAGGCACACGGACTCAGGAGTGGCGCCCGTTCAAATCGCTGACAGAAATTTTGCTGTTCGTGTTCGGCGTCAAGCATCAACTATCGGGGACGGGAATGACGGATTTGTTCGACATCTTAACGTTCGTCGATGGGCAGCCGGGCGACGGGGCCGGGGAGGGGAGAGGGTTCGACACCGCTGACGTCCCCGAGAACGGCCAAAAGTTCGTTTCTCGGATGCGCGAGTTCCTCCCTCTCTTTGAAGTGTGGGTGCGCGATGTCGTGGCCAAATCCGCCAAGAAAAAGAGTGGTGCTCGAACCACAGCGAAGGTGTATGACATCCCCATTACACAGGTCCTCGATTTCATGCTGAAGTCGAGATCTCACATGGAGGAGATATTTGCCAACCCTGGCGGCGCGGTGGTGGGAAAAGAAGAGGGACAGAAGCTTGGGTTAGCGGGCGAGCATCTTTTTCCACTCCCGACACGTCCTGCCCGTAACGCTGGGCCCAACAACATGCACGGCACCTTGGTACAACGCATGCCACAGCACAACTTCGATGGTTTTCTCGCTCAGGCTCGCACAAAGGTGTACGTAGGAGATGTCGTCATGTGTGACTTGCGAGATGAAGGCTCGCCGGACCCGCTTCAGACGCCCTGCCGAATAACAGCGACGTTCTTGGTTGAAAAGAGCAGGCGACTGGTGGTCACCGTGCGGCTTTTCCGGGATGCTCATGAAGTGCTCGGAGTGGCCCATGACGACCCTGCTTTTGTGCAGGATGGGGTGGTTCGAGTTTGGGAACAGGTGGGAGATGCATCTGAGACCGATCTTCGCGACATCACGCAGGTGCTTGACCGGGTAGAAGTTTTCACCCGAGCGGAGTTGCGGGATGGTGCACACCTTCGCCCGTGGATAGGGGAGGGTACACGGCGGGAGGGATGGACGTTTGTGGGAGAGGGCTTTGTCACGCGTCGTGGACACCGCTTCGTGAGAAGACGGGATCCGTTCAAGGAGGGCGGATGGCGTCGAGCGGGCAGCGAAGAAGAGAATTACCCAGACATAAGGAGCGCTGACGTCATCCACAACGCTTTGAACCTCAAGTTCATCAACTTGCCTATCGGCTATTCGGCGGATGACTTCAACGCTTTCGGAATGGCGACCCCGGTGAGTCAACAAGGTTTTGGAGTTTGTGTGTACAGTTTTTTGCTTTTTCTCTCGGTGTTGGTTTTGCCGCCAGTAGCCCCCCCCGCCCCCGCCCCCCCCCGGTGTGTGCCATCGGAGTTGGGTCCTCGCCAAATGGCAGCGATGTCGTAAAACAAGCCAATCACTTCGAGTTCTCGGCAACCAGGTTACCGGTTTTTTTTTGCCTTGTTTTTTCTTTATTGCTGTAGCCATGAGTGGTGGTGGAGTAGATTTTGTTGTGCGGGGTCGAGAACCCTCACTCCGCGCAAGGGGGATAATCGCACCACGTTGTGTTAAAATGGTATCCCACCCTCGAGGCAGTTCCGCAATGCTTACAACTGTCTCTGGAAGTGAAAGCACCAGAAAATA